ACTTAGTCGGTGTATTCAGAAAATAGTCTGACATGGGCCACACAGGCCTCCACGCAGGGGCACGGAGTCAAACAAACTCCAGAAGTCCATGGACATGTGACACTAACACTGCGGAGAAAACACGTGCCCCCGTTCGGTCTTTCACCCAAGAACACACCGGTTATCCACACACGATGACCTACCTTTTGACTTATTTCATTGTCCTCACTGTACTTATTTATCTTGGTGTAACTAGCCACTGTAAGCTGCCAGCCACCGTAGTGTTCGTGCATATACCTTCCGAGTTGTGTCATGGTTTTCATACCTAATACTTGGAGCGGGACTTATGCGACCTGATCAAATGCCTTTGAGAAGTCCAAACATGGCATCCGGTATGATTCCCTCGTTCTAAGCTTGGGTTAAGTCGCCCATAAACATGAGCGCGGTAGCCACGCAATAACGGTTTTAGAGGAATTCTTGTCGAACTGGAGGAATCAAACCTTTGGCGGTGAGTTATTTCAAGATGGGTGAGAGTCTCGGTTTCTAGCCGGCTTACTGAGCATAAACATTCCAAGGTACTTGAGACTATTTTGCACCGTTCACTGTTTCCGGTTTCCTCTGACTAATCTTGTCCGTACTTCATTTGATTTAACATATACACCAACCGCGGCACCGACACTGCAGTCCCATGGCATTGTTTCATAGCGGTCAGTCCCACCAACCGCACATGCACTTCATCTGAGTTGTCAGTCAAATAGGTGTTCGTGCCGCGGTGGTACTTTGCCCATATTCTCGGGCATTCGTTGCAATAAGCGGTCGCATTACGTCATGCTGCTACTGGAATGACTTGAATAATGGGTCAAGAAATTGTAACTAAAAGTGCCACGTAATGCGCTCACACTTACTCCGAGATATCTGGATTCAACTAGTTTCGCTTTATACCATCGACGTATAAAAAATGACATGGACCGCCTGAGCTGATTTGAATGATTGCACCATAAGTGCTTTGCACGAATTTTCTGGTGTCAACTACAGCATCTGGTAAACCGATGGGCTTTGAGCCGCACTTATCCCATACGGTCATCTTCATTTTTCCCGTAATAATTTCCCTTATACTGACAGATAAATTATCTGCATTTGAATTATATACGCTTATAACTCATTGAAAACGCGACGTAGTGCCCGTATGTAAATAAGCTAATCAGAACGCCGGCTTCTCTAGTTACCATGTGGCATGTGTTGTTACATCTTATCGTCTACCACATATAGGCGCCACTTCTTCGCTTTGGGCCTCAAGTTTTGGTTGTGTCCTTAATTGTCTCAAGTAGATAATAAATGTTCTGCTGTTCTTGGTTGATTTAGTTTTCAGCGCAAACGACCGCTATCTTTTCCTAATTGAGCGCAGAACTAAGTTCAGTTGGGGGCTGTCCAACAGTCTATTGTGTTTGACTGCTGTATCGCCTGAGGATTTCTCCTTCCGCTTACCCATAGGTTTTAAGAGTAGCTTAAAACACACCTTTGACAATTATATATTGAATTTCAACAGATTTACGCGGGGTTGTCTTAAACAAGTCCTAAACTGGTCCCCAATAATCCATGTAGGTATTTCTTTTAACTAACGGAAGTGGAGTATCTGGATGCAGCTCGAGCAACCCAGTACAGCATCATATTTCACCGCCCTTCAGAGTAGTTGCACGTGGCTTTTATGCTTGCTCGTCGTAAACTTTTATTTGCGCATTAAAAATATCACCCAGAGATTTTTACTTGCAACTTAGCACAAACGTAAGCTCATTTATACCTCAGAACTCGGTACAGAAGCGTGAAGAATCGTTGGAGGATGTTACAGAGTTCTACTCTTTTTGTATCAAGAGTAGCTGAGGACAGGTTGGCTGGTTCCAGTTTTATCTTGGTCACAACGTATGGCTAGACTGGCCTCTGTCACCTATGTTTTACTGTCGTCGATATCTTGATGCCCAACATGTTTAGATCGCATCGTCTAAATCGTACCAGTCTGGCGCAGTCCCACTTGTGCGATATCCCGCATGTTCTCTACATCTGGTTCACTGCCATGCACATCCATTGGTCAAACTATCACCTATTGTACTGTACCTCCAGCTGTGATACTGAGATTCTGCCATCCTCATGCTGGGAATAGTCGCCAGTGTTCAGTTGGCAAGGAGGTCTGGCGGGGTATGTTATATACGGGTCTGTCCTGGCGGACAGTTTGGTTCAAAGGAGCGCATATATCGTGGTTTAACTACGTGGGGTAGATGGTGAGTGGGCGTCAATGAAGTAAGCGCGGGATGGGTCTCGGTAGAAGCTGCCAGAGGGAATGAGTGTTTGCTTGGAATCTAAGTGTGTACTACTCGGGGATGGCGAACCTGAATTTTCCTCACAGACTCGGCAACAGAGTGAGGGCTCCGGTGGTTAACATGTACAAACAACCATAGATTCACGGTCGTTTGCGAATAAAACCGTTTCAGTGGACAGTGTAACTTAGGAGTTCGATTTCAGAATGACCGGCAGAGCTGAACTGCCAGCTGCTCCTGATCCTATTGAACGAAGCTGAAGTTTTGCACAATTACATTTTTATCTACTTGTGGCGTCAACTCGGGCCGGTGTATTGCTCAAGACAAAGTGCATTGAGAGGGGCTCAGGCCTGGCAGATGCTACTTGGCTCAGGGCTACATTTCCGCTAAGTGAGCTTTGAGGTGAAAATTCATCACACGCATTTCAGGACAAAGGAAAGTAGGAAACAATATCCCATTACGAACATTTACAGTTCTGTGGTTTGAACTTGGCCGACTAGAGATGGCTGGAGCGAACCTACCGACATATTTTGGAATAGACCGGATGGGCTGGAAAGGATTCCTCATCAGAGCGGATAAATTTCCAGGTGTAGAATTAGACAAAAGGTTCTTTGTGGTGTAAATCTCATAAGGTGGGCGTGGGTTACGTGATTCAGGATTCGGTAGACATGAAAATGACCAGGTTGGGCAGATTTCATCGTCGTACAGTGCAGCGGAGCTTCCATGATACCATTAGTAAGAAACGTAGCAATTAAGACAGCTGGCCACATCGAAACCACAGTCGCGACGTGGAAGGCAGTCAGGATTTTGGCGCATCTACTCCTTGAGCAAAACCTTGGTTGTACGTGATTGGAAATCTACTAGATCTGCTTCGTGTGTCTTAAATCCCTGACAACATGAAACAAGATGACGACAAATTGAAGCACTCAGTCGCCGTATAATTGTTGTTATAGGTACAGTGTTAATGAACACGTTCCGTCGGAAGCCCACTTCCTAACAGGCGGAGGACCAAAGGCTTCCAAGGCTTTTCTTTGAATTCGGCGTCAAAGCGAAGTTGCCCCTGCCCGAAATTCATGGTCTCTTTTAACGTCGCGCAGTGTTAATGATTTGAGTCTAAAAGTATAGAACCTACCAATGCCAATTTACGGATATACAAAAACATTTCTGGTTTATAACTTTCCAATATTATCGGGCTACCACAACGTCTACTAGTGGTAAAACATATTTTGGCAGACATCAGATAGCATTTGCATTGCCCACTTGTTAGTATGAAACGATCTTAACGCAAAAATGAGTTTAACTGGTGATTATATGACAAACTACTCACTAAATTGCTGGTCCTAAGACCGATAGACTATCCTCAGAATCTCCGTTTCGAAAGTCTGCGACTCCTCCGAAATTCCTGGCGACTTACTGCGGAAGCTTCTCTATAGATACCTTTGAGCCTGAGTCCCTCGCGCATACATTGGGAGACTAACTCCGAAATTCTTATACCGACAATCAATAATTTTACGGATTCGAAAAAGGTCCCAGTGAATCGAATAACCGGATTAAATTTCAATTGTCTCCCTCTTCCAGACTTATAGAAACTTTTAGAATAAAATTTCGCTTAGCCGTATGGAGTCACTATGCGGCCTGCGAATGCAAATGGTATAGGTTAGCCTCCTCAAAAACGAGCCCAAAATGTCTGCCCTGCATTAGCAATCTAGTATTGAGGGCTACTCAATTAACAAAGTCCAGTATTTACGTTTTCAATTTGATCATTGGACTTCAGATTTCCGGATTTCAAATTTTTAGCCTAAATTGTCCGTTAGTCAAATGATGGCACATGCGCATAGGAAGTGATGGCAATCCACCCTCTCCTGCTTGACTGCACTAGGTTGGGGTCAAACAAACCTCTAGAAGTAGATCCGCTGGTTACATGCGAAAGCATGACTTTGAAATGGTGTAGAGTTAGGCATCAAAATCCCCAGGTAAGATGGCTATCACTGCTGAAATCCGTATAAACCCAAGCGAACTATAGCTGTTATTGCGAGTGGAAAGTCACAAAAGAAAAATTATTTAAACCACGCATCCAGTCGGGGAAAGGTTTTCCTAATTTGTCACACAGTGACGACTGACGAATGAATTTTGGCAGGCAGAACATTTTTAAAACAATTGGCAATTTTTGATTTGGAAACACTCGTGGGTCATCAGAAATCAAACTCGTTCAAAGGGACGAGAAACGCCTATGGAAGCAATACACCAGAGTTAATGTTAGCCATTTTCGTGGCCTATTTCCTGCCCACTTAAGTGGCCTTATTTAACTGTCGGGTGGAGAGAATAACTCATGCCATCGGTGGTTTGGACGCATTTGGGATGGTCTGTGGTTGGTAGCATAGGGTTGCTGCGACAGATATCTTTGATATGAGAAAATGGACTGCTACACGATCTAAACAGTGTGCCAATTCGCTTAAAGTACATCCTTCTTACTGAATTTTGGTGAATAGGCCGACATGTGGCAATGACACTTATTGGTAAAATGGACTATTCAAAGTCCACTCATTGTGTAACCATTCAAGGCTCCCGGGGGCATGACCTGATAAGGCAAGCTTTTATAGGACAGAGAAAGCCCAAGCGCACAGACCACTCTGATGTGCGCTCAAGGAAGCAATGCGTCTGCTTCTCACATGTCTCATTGGTAATGTTATCATTCACGTAATCCTCTCTCAGTTTACCAAGTTGACAGAAGTTGGCGGTACACACTTTGGACTCGCAATTCAGCAGATCACTATGCAGGAGGCAAATTCAAAATACGGGTTCTCATCTATCAGATGCAGCCAGTGAAATGTGACTTACGTCTTCAGTAAGGTATTTGTGACGCTGCTGCAGCGACCATCGCGCAGAGTGGACTCAAATATGATTAATACACAGTCGTCGGTAGGGTCAGGAGAAATTCGGGGTGCGCGGGCCTCATTTTCTAGATCTGGAAGACTGGCTAGCCATGTTTTACCCAGAAAGAAAATGTAACAGAATATATTATGTTTTGGTTGGAATCGACTTGAGATTTGATTTTTCTATTGGGTGGAACACTCGGCGAGATAATAAGCCAATCGAACAAAGAATACCTCAGATTTGTCCCCGCACCCTACATCGCACTGTACTGATATTATGAACCTCTGGATCCCATAGGCACCGTTAGCATCCAGCGTTCGTTTTCACAGAGAGGCGCACCAAAATTTTCTAGCCCACTCTGAGAATTTGAAATGTTTGATGCGTGGGTAACTATGGCGTGCTAGCCGAGGGGCTATTTATCCCGAGGTTTTCAATGGAAATTTGCGCGCCAACTCAAACGAGGCTCCATTCAGAACGGTATTTTGAAAAACTATACCATGCTCATTCGTCGTATAAAAACCCACGTTTTCCGCGAGTCGTAACAAAGGTGGGCTCGTCCGTGATTTGTATGCGTCAAAAATATAATGCACCCAGAATGTCTGAACTGGAGGCAAGCTAAAGTTGATTACAAGGAGCGCCGGAATAACTGAACCGCTCCTGGGCGATCTGGTGTTGATTACTCAGTAGTGCAGACAGGGCAGCTTTATTATTTGAAAACGAGCTCACAAGCCACATCTACAAGGCTGCTCTAACCGCATAGCGTAGAATTATTGGCACCTTTGGAAAGGAGGGTTTCAGTGGAAGAAATGTCATATAAATTTATGGTAGCCATGGATGTCGACTTCCATCGCAACATATGGAGTGTCATTGGCCAGTTGGTGTCCATCAGTAAGTCTTCAGTGAAGGTTATACGCAAAATCGGCTTGAGAAACAGCTGGCCACGTATAAGAGGCCAGCTTCAGCGAAGCTGTCTCGTTATAGCTATTATAGCACGTCCACGGCAACCTGCTACTTAACAGCCACTGGGGCGCTTCGCAAATTTCCGATGCCCCTAAAGCCGCATGTTTCTTCAGCGATGCTCCTGACCCGAGCAAGAGTCAGCTTATTTTTTCCACTGTCTCATTGTGTCATCCCGTCGTCAGCAATGTTGACCCCATATCAGGTCCGCTGCGGAGGATAGTGGCGTCTGCAGGTGACTACTTTCATCGGTGGATTCTGCACGTGATCGTGGTACGTCCCGCGAGTTACCTGTGAGCAGCCTGGAATCTTCCGGTTAATAACATATCAAAAGATACCTCCTTCATGGCCTCTTGCAGTCTACTTCCATGGTATTTGAGAAAATCCAGAACAAAGGAACGTTTTGCGATCTAGGTAAAAGTATGCAGCTGTGGTACAGTTTTCTCTTCGCCAAGTCCAAACGAGTCAATCCATATAAAATGTTACCTTGACCGAGCTCAAGTCATTATTCGGAATATAAATTATACTACTAAAGCACACTGACAAATGCGGTAGTGACATTAGGGGCCTGAGTCATAAGTACCCCCATCCCATTGCAAGATACCAACTGTTGATTCCCCCAGTGAATCAACAGTGAACAAGGGTAACTTTCCTTGTTTTCTGACTACTCATGAAAAACTTGACTTACACCTGTTTATTATGACACCGTTTCGTTTCTTGCTGCTCGTTTTCCCCCACTTTGTTCCTACTTAAGGTCTGCTTGTCCCTCAGTAGGTGATGTCAATATTTGTTGCCCGTCTATCGTTGCCCGCAAGTTCTCCTCGATTGCGCCTATATTTTGAGCGCCCACTCCGACGGAAAAGCGAGCTGTCCGGGTATCGAACCCGGATCCTCCGGACGGCAAGCAAACGCGCTACCGACCACACCAGCCTGACACCTGTGGCGCTGATTATCTTGTATTACCCATGTATCGCGACTGCCCGATAACCCTCGCTGGGCTTTGTTTTAAACGGGCGAAACCACGCAATCTGACATGTCGCGCGACACGAGCGGCTGCGTCGACGCCGACCGAAAGGCAGTCCCTCACATCCCAAACGTACTGACTCCTGCGCCGTTACAGCCAATTCACACTGTCAGACTGCCCCTATATGTATGTCTGTACATCGTCTGGTGCTTACTTGCTGTTGCCGCTATAGAAATCCGTGCTGCGTCGGTGACTACTTCCCGCTCCCGCTGATTGCGTCATTGTTGGTTGTACGTTTGCTTAATTCATGATGCTTACTGAACCGTTTTTCTGCCCCACGTCTGTCTGTTCCTATTGACTACTGGCTGCGAACTGTGTATAATCCAATAGTCGCAGTTGTCCTGTGAGATCCATAAGCGTCTGGCTAGAAACGATCATTTTCACACAATTTTTTTCGATTTCGTTGTAAAACAAACAGTATGCTCATACTTGTTTTCCGCTTCTTTATGAATAAAAGACTCTATATACAGCGCCTGTCGTACTGTCCTTCACTAAGTGGTGCGTTAAAATCTTCACCCCATTACTTCGTTCGACTTGAGTGGTAGTCCCACTTCAGACACACAAAACAAAAGCGAAACTAGTGATCTTTTGCCCACCACAAACAACTAACCAAAGAATTTCAGAAGAAAGCCATATACAAAAGCTATGGTGTAATCAAGCTTTCTACAAAAAGGTCTTCTGTGCAACGCCTTGCAGAGTCGTCGCAGTATATTGGTCTATTTCATAAAAGACTCCCAGTAGAAGACAGCCCGCCAAGTTTGGCTTCAAACCCGAAACAGATCGTGAATCTTTGGGTCTGTGGGTATGTGCGCTTAATTTTCTGTCAGTGCCACTTCCAACCATCTGGAAGCTGATGCACACGCGAGGTACCCTGGCTGTTAGTGTTAACAGATATGAACCCGGCGGACTGTAAAAGGCAGTGACGACCCTTAACGTTCGTCACATTTTAAGTACGGGCAAGCAACCAAGTGTCCATAATCCGGTTGAAAAATTACCTATGGAGGAAGGTACAGCAAAGTTACAATTTCAGCAGGTGACCGAAACCAGCTTTTGTGAGGATAAGTTTCAAAATCCAAGTTGTTGAACGTACACCATCGATCCAGCAGGGATTGCTTGTGTTTTAGGGGGAAATCATGGGCGAAACCGGGTAAAGAGAACGAATAATATTTTACGGACGGGTAAGCGAGTCCGGCGGATATTCACTACGAGTAAAGCGGCCCACCGACCGGTGTCAGGTGGGCCAAAATAATAACCAAAATTGGATATCTGCCCGATGAAGGGCAAATAAGTGTCCAGATTACCACACAGGATTTCGCGGATTTGGAGACATTTCGCGAGATACACACTGCCGGTAAGTTTAACAGCTGTACAATGTTTCTTGGTTCCTTGTGCAGGACGAACTCTTGGTAAAAATATTCTTGACCAAAAATGCAACCTAAAACAAGTGACACCATACGTCATCAAAAACGATCAACTGGCAAGTACTCGCCACCAATGTGAGAAAAGCCTACGCACGCGCACGCAGAAACCCCTTCAAGTTTTTGATAACCGGAAAAATGCACATTTGTCCTACGTATACGGAAGGCTCTAAGTCCGAGATATTTGCCTGCGGAAGCAACCAGAACACGTTTATATGTAAAATTAACCCAAAATGCATAAAAAAATCAAAATCCAGTTAGTGAGAGAGATTCAGGTAGCTGTCGCACGAGCCGATATTGAAGGTTCAAGGAGTTTCCCGATAGAATCACAATTTTTGAGTTGACTGCCCTCTTTTAGGTTTTCACTGGACCCAAACAGGCGGAGCCAGCAGGTGGACCACCTGACAAGGACCATGAATGAAGTTCCTAAACGGGTAGAATGTAATGTCAATACAACCGTCCCCAATGAGGCTGCTGGTCTTCGGTTTAACTGTTCGGAACAAGCCCTTCTGTCTCTGATAAAGTTCCTCCAGCTGTCACCGAAATGTCAAACGAACACGACTTCGACATATTGTCGTTGTTGTCCATAGGGTTTATAAATGAACCAGCGCTTCGTCACTATGACGGTTCGAGGAAGAGAACCACAAAACTGTCAGTGCATCTGATTTGGCTATCAGACAGTTCCGCCGTCCAAGCTCTTCCTAGGGTTATTTAGTTCATCGTGTGACCATGGGTACTGGAAAGCGTCAGTATTTTACTGGATGGGGGGTATCCAGGTTAGGCGTAAATCAATCACTTTTCAGGGTGATGGGTGCCATCCCCGCCGGGCAGTTTAGGGCGCACTGAGACAAATGAACAGTTGAGCACAGACAACTGAGCAAAGCCCTGTGTGCCCAGGGGTCAAGTAAAGAAACTCCGCCAGAGATAACGCGGGTTCAACACTCCTTGGAGTCCGCTGAATTTCACACCGTCGAATATCACCAATTGGGATGGACTGCTGTACAGCGCTTTCTGACTTTTCAACGTATAATGAGCTTGCTTGTGGGGCAAGATCTCCGTTAGAATGAAGACAACTTGGCCAGAAAAATTGAAGTGATGTTAGGGGTGTATATGTCGTTCTTTAACCAGTGGACGTAGCATTTTTTGAGAAAAATGCTCCAATCGTTTTACCAGACTCCAGGACTGGAACCAGGCCGTCATCGCCTAAGAGAACGAATGATTAATACCCTGGGATGTCCCACGTGGCTCCTTCGCCGGAGCTCAGATTATCCCTTTCGTTGGCAAAATTCTGGCGTTCCTGGCCATCCATCTCGCTTCATTGCAGATAACCTCAGTTTGTGAAGGGTTGATGGTTGTCCTGCGCAGTATCTATTGAGTATGACGGCATTTTGACTCTAAGCGTCCCGTCGGAGGACTTTGGCCAGCGCGGATGCGAAATTCCCACTAGACCCTGAAGCGTTAAAATCATCTACCAGCAAAAAATGCGTAAAGTGGTAGCTGGAGGAGAGCTGCTAAAGAGTCGACGACGCTCAAGGAGGGTGACGTTTTACCACGCCGAAAAAAGGAATCGGTCGCA